GCCTTCATCATATGCTCCAAGCCAGGTTCCATCGCAGCCCAAAGCAAGGCTGCACCAAGCACCATGGCGATGTTGTTGCTTGGGTCGTCAGCGAAGAAGTTACACATCTTCGGACAGACATGCTCACCGATGAACCCATGGTCCACTCCACTGTCGGCCTTGATGCTGTACTTGACGGGACCACCAACACCGAGCGTTCCAGCAACCTTGGCGTCGGTGGGAAGCTGCTCCAGGTTGATGTACACATGGACGATGTGTCCATTCTTCTCTCCCTTCCAGCGACCCCGAGTCTCATTCTCGGCCTGGGTAATCCCACACTCAGCAGCGTAGGTTGGAGGCAACTTGCGCACACTATGGGTACCAAGGCTTCGCTGGTCTTGAGCCACAAGCTCCATGAACTCAGGGTCCTTCCAAGCCTTCTTCAAAGCCCGTTGGTACCAGGCGTTGACTCGGTCAGGCTCCGTCTCGATCATCGTCTCATCGAGCTCTTCGTCGTTGTCCAGAGCCTCGATGGCGGCAAGGAACGCTTCTTCATCGTCGACACGGTAATGGCCAAACAGAAACTTGGGATCACCGTGTCCCCTCTCAAGACGAGTCTTGATCCAAATAGCCAAGGCAATCAGGACGCAAAAGTCAGGGTCAGCGGCACCCAGCATGATTTGGTTCGGGCAAGCACGCTCCTCCTGGACATTCTTGCTCCAGGATACCTTGGTTTCAAGAGCGAAGTTTGGAAATTTGGAGTGGCTGCGCAGATCCAAAGTCTCCATGTTGGTCAAATCATCAGTGCGGCCAATCAAGTGAAACTGAACCTTCAACATGGTTGGGATCTTGATCGTCGTATCAATGTTCGCTCCTCCATCGCGTTCCACAATGCGAATGGTCTTGCGGAATTCCCGGATCTTGAGATCCCTCTTGACATTGGATTTCCTGCCCTGCTTCCTGACCTCAGCCTTCTTCACAGCTTTGATCACTTCATTGACAACCCTGGATCGAGTGGGATTCCCAACATTGGGACCAACAGCCCATGATGCGTGGTGGTTCGGATGGAAGTGGCTGATGGCCTTCTTGTACTGTTCAAGAGTGGAAGATCTCTTGTGCTGGGTGGGGCGGTCATTGGGCCCTGGGTTGATCTTTCCATAGGCAAGGAAGTTCAGGAACTGGGCGACATCAGTGGGTGTAATGGCTAGGAACTCCTCCTGAAGAAAAATGAAGAAGAGCGACCATGGTGTGAGGGACAATGTTTGATCAGCGAAATGAAGGAGCGAAGGAGCGAACATGCGACGATGGGAATGAACATGCGACGATCGGCGAAATGACAGATTTGGCGAAGGGAACGAACGTACCTGTGTAAAGTCCTTCGTGCTACCATAGTGACGACCGTGCTTCCAACCCATAAACCTGGCAACGGCCGGCCGGTACTGCTGATCGAGGGACTTGCGCTTCCTCGCCATGGTGGACAAATCAGCGAGTAAACAAAATATTGAGATGAGCGAAGAAACAAAATAGCGATTATGCATAGCTTTCGCACTCCATCCAAATTTATGGAGAGATTGGTGAAGAATGACGATCGATCCAATGAAATCGACTTGCCGTTGGATGCAGTCGTACCCATGATACAGGCGTTGGATCGGAGGGGATTTTCGAGGGTTTACTCTCTTTCAGTACTAAGAGAGAGGTTCCGCGTCATTAAGTCTTTGGGTTTCGCGGAACGTTTGGTGGTCTTTCGTACGATTGAAGTTGTATTTGGCAGTTGGTACTTAGGGAAAAAGTTGTATTTTGAGGCACCCGATGCAACTACCAATGCGATTCTGAGTAGTATCGGATACCCTCAAATGCCTGGTTTTCCCCGGCAAAATACTCTCAATGACTTATCCGTATCACCATCCCCCAATACTAGATTCCCTTACTTAGCGCTAAGTAGGGGGTGGCCGGTGCTACTATGACTAGAGGTGGGTCCCACCAACCAGTGCAATCCCCCAAAGACTGATACCCTCTATCATGTGACTACAATTGTATATTAGTTATACAGTATTAGTACATTGTCATGTGATATGATACTTAGCTTAGGTTGTCAGAGGCCTTGCTTGACTTGGTCGCACATTTGAAGAACAAGCAGCCGGAGGCTGATGCCCTCAACTGTCAAAAAGAGATTTGATTGGTCAAATCATTTACCGGGTTCAACTGGACACACTATTGATAGCAAGTCTCCATAGCCAGCCAGTACGGGCACAGTGGTATCGGTACCCATGGGTCCAGAGTACTGTGTACAACAGAACACACAATATAAATCCCTATCCTTAACAAAGAAAATGTCCCTTATGTCTTTGGCAAAACCTCCACCGTGTTTATCTTGACACACTAGCGAGTCTGCATAGCCAGCCAGTACTGCTACCCATGCGTAGAAACTACTGTGTCCAACAGAACACACAAGATTAATCCCTATCCTTAACGAGCGACGAAAACAGCTGCAAACAAACACACACACACACACACACACACACACACACACCACACACACACACACACACACACATCCAGCCCATCGAGTATTGGATTTACGGTCTAGTTTAGCTTGGTCTCGGTCTATACCGTACCAGCTCCTATGTGTCTATTTTCGAAATCACCACAAACAGGGTACCCTTGCTTTCTCACAGCCTACCCGGCTTGTATCTTTTGCCATCCCAGCTTGCTCCACTGATGAAGCAAACAGCGAAATTCTTAAGCTCAGAATTTGGAAATCAGCAAGCAATGGTATACCCCATGGATAAACATCCAATGGTAGATTCGTCGTAGATTAACTCTTAGTAGTGTCTACACATCTCACACAACATCACACATCTCACACAGCACTCACGTACACACACTACACACACATCCAGCCCATCGAGGTATTGGATTTACGGTCTAGTTTAGCTTGGTCTCGGTCTATACCGTACCAGCTCCTATGTGTCTATTTCGAAATCACCACAAACAGGGTACCCTTGCTTTTCTCACAGCCTACCCGGCTTGTATCTTTTGCCATCCCCAGCTTGCTCCACTGATGAAGCAAACAGCGAAATTCTTAAGCTCAGAATTTGGAAATCAGCAAGCAACGGTATACCCCATGGATAAACATCCAATGGTAGATTCGTCGTAGATTAACTCTTAGTAGTGTCTACACATCTCACACAACATCACACATCTCACACAACACTCAACGTACACACACCTACACACACACACACACACACACACATCCAGCCCATCGAGGTATTGGATTTACGGTTTAGTTTAGCTTGGTTTCGGTCTATACCGTACCAGCTCCTATGTGTCTATTTTCGAAATCACCACAAACAGGGTACCCTTGCTTTCCTCACAGCCTACCCGGCTTGTATCTTTTGCCATCCCCAGCTTGCTCCACTAATGAAGCAAACAGCGAAATTCTTAAGCTCAGAATTTGGAAATCAGCAAGCAACGTATACCCCATGGATAAACATCCAATGGTAGATTCGTCGTAGATTAACTCTTAGTAGTGTCTACACACATCTCACACAACATCACACATCTCACACAGCACTCAACGTCCACATCACCACGCTACGCACACACACACACACAGTGATAAAAGTGTGAAAGACCCTCAGTCCGTTGAGGCAATTATGTAAGGTTAGGGTTGAAGTTATCTTTCTGAAACGCTTTCCATTATTGGAAAATGCGCTGAAGAACAATTATTACAAGTAGACTACAAGAACCATGGTTTGAAAGGTTGGGGTATTTAAAAAGCTTTAAAATGGTTCGCATATTATTTACTACAGATTCGGGAAGAACTGTCTTTTTCCATGCTCTGAAGCGGATTTCCCACCCTTCGAAGGAGATTTTCCTTCCCGGTATAACGGTCCTGTGCATTTCTACGAGGGCCGAATGCGACCTCCCGGACCCAACCACCAAGGAAATGTCTCAAACTATCTCTAGTCTTAAAAGGGAATGAACTCTAATTAAATCTCAAGGGAAATTCCCTTCCGCGGGTCGGAAATCTGCTTCAGGAGGTGGGAAATCCGCTTCAAAGCATGAAAAAAGACAGTTCTTCCCGAATCCGTAGTATGTTTTACTCCAAGTACATATTACTACTTGTGCTGAACTTGTGCTGTTGAGAAGATGCACCGGAGAGCATCACTTAGCCTATGCACAAGTGTATTGCTTAGCCCTTCGAGGAATTCCCTGCCTCCCGAAATTCCTCGTGGATTCCTTCCAATTATTTTACTCCAACTGGTACCGTACATACTCTTTCAGTAATACATTATGAGCCTTCTAGGTCGTCTCCACGCACAATGGCAGAAGTACAGTAGAGAAATAGTACATTATGTATACATTAAAGCTTGGTGGCTGCCTCGGGGTCGGCTAGCAGGCTCGCCTCCCCCTCGAACATTATGGACCATCTAAGCTTGTATATTGCTCTTGTACCTTAACAAAAGCCAGCTTGGTGGCTGCCTCGGGGTCGGCTCGCAGGCTCGCCTCCCCCTCTAACATTACGGACCATCTAAGCTTATATTGCTCTTGTACCTTATTAATGGCAATCAGCTTGGTGGCTGCCTTACTCTTTCAGTAATATACTCCATCCGTACCGGTAATAGTACTCTGGAGATAGCTTTTTTTGCTTCGTGCAGCGTTGAGACACAGTATCAAATTTAAAGTACATCCCTGAAACTGGCAAATCCAAAGAAGGGCAAGGTGCTTTAAAGTGAGGAAAGAGAGCACTTTAGACCAGTGTAAAAAAGAGTACAGAAGCTACCAAAGACATTCTACACAATGCCTTCATTAAGCCTTTCACTGCATTTGTTCACCTCAAACCTGAAAAAGTCTTTTGAAGTTTGTGGTACGAAAAAGTCGGCTCTCGGCTCCTCTCGGCTGTTTCTCACACCGCGATCACAACCTCGAAGCAACCAACTTTCATCTCACTCAAGTAGGTACTGTAGAGTAATCGTTATCCCCCCAACAGATATTCACATAGACCGTCACGGACAATGAGCGAGAATCAGGAGAAGGAGGCACCACCAAGCACAGTGCCATCTTGCACATCTGTAGGTGCCGGCAGTAATAATGACGACGATGCCCTGTTATTCCGCAAGATTGTGGAAATGCGCCTTGGTCCTAATGGTAGTGGTAGTGTAGTAGTAGACAGGTCACCGGATGCTCTTTCAGCAGGTGGAGAAGATTTGGAGAAGGGCCATTGTTCCTCGCCAACTCGGCAGCAGCAAGAAGATATCTCTTTGAGCAACGACGATGACTTGAATCTTTTGGATGTTGTTGCTGCAC